TGTTTTGCAGAGATATGATAGGTTTGCCATATGTCCACTCAGAAGACTTGAAGCAGGGGTCCCCGACCCCTGGGCCATGGGCTGGCACCAATCCGTGGCAAGTCATGAACAAGTGCAAGTGAGTGAAGCCCCATCTGCACACGCGCAAGATCCAGGCAGCAAGTGAAACCACACACCCCAAGCCATGGAAAAAGCACCCTCCACAGAACCTGTCCCTGGTGCCCAATAGGAAAATTCCTTCTGAATTTAAAGGGCATTCATATTTTGAAACCAATAAAAAGCTATAGATACAGCAGGATCAAATCACTTAAGCAATGAAATCTGAGCCTTTTCACATGCCATTTGAATTTTAAAAAGCTATAGATACAGCAGGATCAAATCACTTAAGCAATGAAATCTGAGCCTTTTCACATGCCATTTGACACATCCCGGAGTGAATGATTTATTATTCAAATTCACAGGTATCTGACTCAATAGTAGGAACTGTGAGAAAGATCTAGGTGTCCTAATGGACAACCACTTATGAGTCTGCAATGTGCCACAGCGGCCAAAAAGGCCAATTTAGTCCTAAACTGCATCAATTGAGAGATAGTTTCAAGATCATATGAAGTGATAGTATCTCTTCATACTCAAGTGAGACCACACTTGAAATACTGTCCAGTTCTGGTCCCCACAACATCAAAAAGATTTTGAAGCTCTAGAGCAGGAGTGTCAAACTTGATTTCATTGAGGGCTGCATCAGGGTTGTGCTTGATCTTGCGGAGCTGGGTGGGTGAGGCCAGAGTGGGCGTAGCCAGCTCAACATCACTCATGTCAGGGGTGCCTGTAATTGCTCAAGCGCTCTGCCAGCGAAAATGGACCTCAGGAGGGCCGCCCTCCCAAGCTCTGTTTTTGGTGGCACCGCAGACTGGTCTATCACTGTTTCCAGGATGTCCCTGTGGGCCAGATCTAAGCACCCTGCAGGCCAGATGCAGCCCACGGGCTTTGAGTTTGATACCCTGCTCTAGAGTGTAGAGAAGAGCAACAAATATGATAAGAGGTCTGGAGGCTAAACTATACGATGAATGATTTGTGGGAACTAGATATGTCCAGTCTAACAAAGAGAAAGTCTAGAGATGATATGATAGCAGTCTTCCAATTGAGGGTATGTCACAGAGAGGAGGGGATTTACCTATTCTTCAAAGGACCCGAGGACAGGAGAAAGAGTAACAGAAGTTTACTAAAGATATTCAATCTAGGATTAAGGAGAAATTTCCTGACAGTGACAACAATTAATCAGTGGAACGGTTTGCCTCCAGAAATTGTGGATGCGCCATCATTTGAAAATCTCCAGAAGAGGTTGAACAATTTATCTACAATTGTAAGGGGTTTCTTGCTTGAGCTGAGGGTTGGACTAGAAGATCTCCAAAGATCCTTTCAACCCTGTTATTTTATATTAGTGAGAAAGAAAGTGACTGGGAAGATATAGGAGAGATTAGTTTGATTTTTTAAATATAATTAAATACAATTCAGATTCAAAATAAATAGCATAGCAGTATAAACATTAATAACAAAGCAAATCCTTAGGGATAAGGGGGGTTCAAAATAAAAAAACTGGGAATATCACAGTCTGACCTAAAATTTAAAACAGCATTCTTCACAAGAGAGAAGTTATAATATTTCTCCCTAGGACTAAAAAAAGTAGTCACATTTTAAATCTCTTTCTAAAAGCCAAGGACAAAGTTCCATTCAGGTGGCTGTGACCATCTGAGAAGATATTCATTTTCTAAACCATGAAGGGCTTTAAACCAGCACCTTGAATTTCACTTAGGACTCGAAAAGGAGCCAGTGCAGTTTTCAAATTAAAAGTGTTATATGGGTATAACTGAAGCATTCCTATAACTAATTGGGTTGCTACATTCTGGATCAGTAATAGCTTCCACATGCTATTCAGAGACACTTCTATGTAGAGTAAAACAAGAGGTAGCTAAGTCATGACTCAGTGTCTCCCATTCCAGGAAAGTTCAGTGCCTCCCATTCCAGGAAAGATTATAATTTTTGTACAAGATACCTCTTAGCCAGAGTTGCCATTTGTTCATCAAGCACATACTGTAGCTCAGGAGGACCCCCAAGTTACACAACAATTCTACATGGGGGAATATTTTTTTGTTTAGAACTGAAGATAAGATCTGTTCTAAGTCTGATGGCTTATGAACTCTGAACCTCTGTGCCTTATACGTATTAAGCCTCAACATGTACCTCTGGTATATCAGCCTTAAGGTATCTTGACAGCAGTTGGACACCATCACTTCATTCACTCAAGGTCAGAGTACAAAGTTGGTTGTCAAGGGTGGACAGGTGATACCTGACCCTGATGGATGACTTCACCTGGTGACTTCATGTAGATGTTGAATAAAAATGAAATAAATGTTGATTGCTGTGGTATCCTAGAGCTGAGAGTTTAAAGTATTATAAACATTTTCATAAGCCTTTCCTATTCAAACTTGTTTATCTTTGTAAAAAAACCCACAGATCATATTGCTTTGTTGGGTTACCTTTAAACTTTTTGTTAAAAAACAGAATTTCAGGGTAAAACTAAAAAGCAATAAAACCAAGGCCAAAGGAAAAGTAAATGAGAAAAGGAGAAAAATAATTCCAGCGGTGGAGTAATGGATAGCGAAGAGGTCAGAATTTATAGAAATGGCAAAAGTGATTTAGTCAGAAAAAAATCAACAGTTTTTTTCCTGAATGTCTGGAAACCTTGCTAAAAAAATAATAAAATGATCTTCAAAAATATGAGTTTCACCAAAAAGTAAGATCTTCAAGGTTCCTTCCAACCCTATTCTAGATTCTATGATTGATGGATCTGAAGATTGAGAAAATGTGGATTAAATGAGAAGCTGAAGATACGTGTATTGCATCTCCAGGGGAATAGGGAAAATAAAATTATAATTATCTGTTGAAAAGAAGTTTGGAAACCATTTAAAATATTTCATTTTTTCCCCTCATTTAATTTTTTTTTCACACTTTCCTTTTTTCTTTTGGTTTTTCTTCTATGGGAAAACATTATAAAAAGAGATGGGAAGAAAAATCATAAAATTATTTGTATTATATTTTAATACAGTATTAATACTTTTGGGATTTTAAAGAGAAATACAAACATTTAAAACACATTTTAGCATAGAATGACATTTGTACAAACTTTATTATGGAAAAAGTATCATGAATTAATTGTGATCATAATTCAATAAATTTATCTTTCGTTGTAAGGTTTTCCAAACTCTTATGTTAATTTTTCAAACAAAACAGCAGGAATTGAATTGATTCCTTTAAATCAATTGAATTAGTTTCTTCTGTTGTATCAATTTATGCATGTTAAGAAATATAGACATTAAACCAATAGTAGGATTTGTGCAAATGAGCTGGTCAGAAGTTACATCTTAATATCAAGAGAGTCAAGTACTTTCATTCCTTCAACAATCTATATTTGGTTCCTTAAGCCCATTAAAACTTATGAAAAATTATATTCATCTATTTTATTTATTTGTAATTGCAATCAAGGCTTCTGTTTAATTGTAACCTTAAACCCCTTTGGAAAATAATTTGGGTTTCTTATTATGTTGCAGCACAAAATACTTGTTAAATTTATTTTATCAAGTCATCAAAACTGATTATGAAGAAAACCCAAAGTTTTACAATAGACCCTTCTGAAATCAGACCATATAAATTGTAGCTGTTCTAGATTTTGTTATCAAGTTCATATTCCAATTAGTACAAATTACCATATTCAGTGGCATGGCCAACATTTTTGTTCTGATGAATTTATGAAAATCCCTCAATAGTGCCTCGGATTAAAACACAATATGTAACACATTAGTAATTACAATTCTGCTATAAATTTCTGTATCTTCCCATTCCTTATATTAAACAGATCTATCCTCCGCTTTAAAAAAGGATGATTGAGGAATGAAGGTATAGAAGAAAAGTAAGGAGCCAAAGAATGTTTCAATTTTTTCCAAATTTCTAAAATAAGTTTTAACTAAGCTTATTAGGAAATAGATACTATGTTTAAAGAAGTCAGAAATCACATCACCCCAACCAGAAATGAGCCCTATGCTAACTTGATTTGTATCCATCAAATATCATTTAGTTTCCTAATATTATGAGTTGGCTTAAGTTAGGGGTGTCAAACTGGATTTCATTGAGGGCCGCATGAGGGTTGTGTTTAACCTTGGGGTGGGCGTAGCCACCTCGAAGTTACTCGTGTCGGGAGCACCTGTGGTGGCCAAGTGCTAAGACCCTCCCTCACAGCTCTCATTATAATCTTCCTTCCTAACTTCCTTCCTTATCTTCTTTTTCCTTCCCTCTTCATTCATTCTTCTTCCTTCCCCTCTTCCTTATTTTTCCTTCCTTGCTCTTTTCCCATCTTTCTTTTTCTTTGTCTTTCCCTGTCTCCTTTCCTTTCTTGCATGCTCAAATGCAAAAGGGGAAACATTTATCCTTTTGTTTTGTTTTACTAGCCCTCTGCCAGCAAAAGCAGAGCTCGGGGGAGCAGGTGCGCCCCCCCCAACCTGTTTTCACTGGCAGAGGGCTGCAGGAGGCGTGCACAGCCCTCCCGAGCTCAGTTTTCGCTGACAGAGGCACCATGGGCCGGTCCTTTGCTGTTTACAGGGCGGCCCCACAGGCCAGATCTAAGCATCTCATGGGCTGGATCCAGCCCACGAGCCTTGAGTTTGATACCCCTGGCTTAAATGAAAGACATTAAAATATTTCTAATTTGATATATGTAAACCTTTGTCATGGTTTTGTTAATAATGCATGGTTTACCCAATACTTGATTTTTATAGCTAAGTAGAAAGTTAAGAAAAAATATGTTAGAAGGGGCGGGGATAGGAATTTTCTGTCTTTTCTGTGTCTTCATGGAGCTGAGATACACACTGCATAGAAGGTAGAGAGATAGAAAAGGAGCAATTTGCCTTTCATATATAACAAATTGTAATCTCTGTTTTATTCTTTGACAGCCTCCAAAGGTAAAATGTTTGACAAGAATCTGGCATCCAAATATAACTGAGACAGGGGAAATCTGTTTGAGGTAATTCATTATTTAAATAGTTCAGTTTTCTTTTATTACTATTTTATCAAATATGTACATAAAAGGGGTGGGTGGGTAAAGAGCATATAAGTTTAAAAAGAAAATGGAATGCCTAATACTTCTAAATAGAGGATTTTCTTGTTGCTTCAGTCTGTTTGATCAACAGTTGAGCTGTTAATTAGCAACTAATTCAGTGGACAAAAAATATGCAAAAGATATATTAAGTATAAAGATAACCATCTACCTGCTTCTATACTCTAGTAATTGTAATTTTTCTAAACTAAAACATTGGCTTTATCTGATCTTAAATCTATTAATTATTAAACATGACCTTCTGAAATGGTAAATTACTTTCATCATTTTAAGGAAAGAACAACATCAACTGTGTACATTCTTATAAAGAAAATAGGACAGAATTTTATGAAAATTAAAGCGGTTGAAGAGAGCTGAATGACAGAAAGTTAAAATAAAGGGAAGGAATGGAGTCACTACACAGCTTTTAAAAAAGAAAGCTCAGATATAAATTTAACAAATGAAAGGAAAGAAAGAGGGAATGAAAGTGTAACATGGTATACTGTCTTCCTCTATGACTAGGAGAGAAATGTTATAATCATCTTTTGCTTTAAAAAAACTGAAATAAAAGTGATAGCTTATAAAATAGACAACCAATATTTTCCATGAATGAAGGTGAATATACATGTCCCAGGATAATGTTGCAGGAACTAATCTGGGTTGACCACCAGGGCTAGAGGTTTAGTCTTCCAAGCTTTCAGACTCGTTTCTGGAGTCCATCTTCAGGGAACTTCTCTCGAGCAGAGTGTATGTTTTGGGCTATTGTGTGGGTGGTATTTATGTGGTACCTCTGTTGTATGTGGCTTTTTAGATGTTGATTGGGCTATTGATGGCTGGCTATTAAGTCATTCGCTGTTGTTTCCTTGTGTTGCCAAGCCCTCGCCTCTAAGTACTTGATAAGATGGTGATAAAAAAGCACTCTTGTTCACTGACCAGGTGTCCATTTCCCTGGCTTCAATCATTTCCCTGGTTGTTTTTGTTCCTGCTCATCCAACAATCTTAGTAGCTGCAAAATTAAATGTATGTCGTTGTTCATTGCAGTGTGAGGCTACCAATAAGTTCAGGTCTCCTCGTCTGATTGCTCACTTGTGTTCTTGCAGTCTGGTCGTTAACTTCCTCCCCATCTGTCCTACATAGTCATGGGCAATCCATGCAGGGGATCCAGTAGATTACATTGGAAGTATCTCCCACCTCCAAGTAATCTTTACAATGCATAATTTGTCCTCATATGGTAGCCTCTGGGTAGTATGCAGTGCCCACTTGCAAATCTTGTTGTGTTCTACAGCTTCCAAAATGTTGTATGGCAAGATGTGCCATGTGGTTGGTCTTGTACCTTGTTTCTTCCTTTCTTTCCCCACCACAGACATCTTGTAGCAAATGATTGTGGGTACCCATTCTTCCTGAATTGTTCATGTAGGTACCTGCTCTCCAGCTGTTCGGCTTGCTGGGTACTATAGTGGGTTCTCACCCTGCCATATAGTGTTCTGATGCATCTCTTTTTGTGTGGCAGTAGATGGTTGCTGTTGAAATTCAGAATGCATGGAATATTGGTAGCCTGGTGATAAACTGTGTTTTCTAGGCTTCCATCTTCTTGTCTGTTGACAAGCACATCTAAAATTCCTTTGTCCCCTGAAAACTTGATTTTTTTTTAAAAAAAAATCTGTTTTAACTTGCTTTAGTGAGCTTGGTAATCTAAGTCACTGTATAATAACTCATTTTCTTCCTTTTATTTTTATTTTCTTTCTGTCACTCACCTCCTCTCTTCAACCTCTCTCTAATTTTCATAGAATTTTGTAAGATTAAACCAGTCCATTAACAGAAGGAAATATAAATTAAGGCAAGGTGGAATTGTTAAGGAGAAGCTTACCAATTCCAGCTTACCTGGGTACTGATGGATCGAATTGCCTTCCCCAAGAAAGTTCACTCTTTGCGGGTGCTGGAATTGCAGATTGCAACTGTTACAAGGATTAAGTTTGGACAACTATAGCTTTTCTACCAGTTGCAGCCCTTCTTGATTCAGGGAGCCCTAGGAAAAGTTATCCACACATTAATTACAACTAATCTTGGCACCTGCAACATGCTTTACTTGGAGCTACCCTTGGTAAATGACTCAATCTGAATACGGGTAATCCTCAACTTTCAATCATTCACTTACCTATCACTCAAAGTTACAATGGCACTTAAATTCATAGAATCATAGACTTAACAGTTTTGGAAGAGACCTTGAAGCTCTTTAGTCCAACCCCCTATTGGAGCAAAAGACCCTATACCTTTCCAGACAAATGGTTATCCAGTCTCTTCTTGAAAACTTTTAGGCATGAAGCACCCACAACCTCTGGATGCAAGTCACTCCACTGATTAATTAACATGACTTACAACTAGTGCTTGCACATGTGACTGTTGTAGCATCCCCACAGTCATATGATCAAAATTCGAGCACTTGACAACTGGCATGTATTTATGATGGACATTTGCAACCTTCCTAGATGGCTTCCAATAAGCAGAGTCAATGTGTGGCGTGGGGGAATCGGATGCATTTAATTACTCTGTTAGTCACTTAACAACTGTAGCAAAATTGTCCAAAAAATTGGGTGTGACTAACTTGTCTTGCTAAGTAACGGAAATTCTGATCCCAATTGTGGGTGTAAGCCAGGGACTATCTGTTTTTGAGGTTGAACTTTAAAGCCATAAATGGCTTTAGGTCTGATTATTGTGGGACTGCTTCTCATGCTATAAACTTGTGCACTTATTTGGATCAGCAGGAAAGAACTTTGAAAAAATAGCCCTACCTGCAGAAGTTGATATGAGGTACCTTCATCTCTATAATTCCTAGTCTACAGAATGCATTCTCTAAGGAGGTAAATTTGGCCCTCTCTTTCCCCGCATTTAGGAAAATGCATTTATGTCTTCTCCAGTTAAGGACTAGGTCTCTAGATATTAGTCCTAAGTGGAGAAGACAAAAGAAATGCATTAGTGGAACTCAGTAGTTTTAAAAATGATGTTATAACATTTTTTCAGACAGATAAGCACAAATGAGTTCTTCCTAAAGAACTTTAGAAATATCCTTTGAGCACGACATATTCTTATTCAAGAGTCTGAGATGGGGCACGCTGATTATTGATCTTGATTTGTGTCAGAAGCACCTTCAAATGATAGATAATAAACCTTCAATATTAAGCAAATAAAATAGGTCATAAAAGTGTTACACATGTAAATAGTATACAAAATAAGTAGGATTAAAACTAAATGATGTTCGCCCAGTTTCAGGCTATATTGGCAGCATGAGTCTTCCTCCGTACATGTTGAAGAACATAATATGCACCATAGCATATGGGAGATGAATTTTTCTCCACATTCACATAGAGTATCTTCTATAGGGAAGTCCCATTTTCTTAGATTGTACTTTGATCTTCTTATCATGGCACATAGTCTATATAGTGATTTCCATACAGGCCAAAATTGTACTTGACCAGGTGACAGTAGTTCCAGGAAACTATGGAGGGGCAGATGTTTTGAGGAAGTTTGTTGATCAAATTGATAATTGAAATAATTGGTCTTTAGTTAATGAGGAGCATTATTACTTTTCACACTGGACCACTTTATTTCTCAAGTAATGGATGAATAACTGGAAAAACGGATGGAACTAGCAGATATGGCTAAATTAACTTCTCTAATCAAAGAAAAGAATACATTCAATTTTGCTTCTGCTTGGAAACTGCTTGTGGATTTTGTGCTTCCGATGGGAAAAAATGAAATTTTACTTTGGGTTTTGCTGATTTTAGATAAGTTTGTTGTTATAGAAATGGCCAGTACATATTACATATGCAAAAGTAAAAAGTTGAAGCTATAATGTATTCTACTGCACTAAAAAGAGTTAGAAGTCAATGCTTTTCGTTTTCTTTTCTCCGTTACCCTACAGTTTTTCCTTTCCCCTTTCACTCCTCCGTTTTCCCACTATTTTCATAACTTGTATTTATACTTTGATATTATTAATAAAATTATAATTAAAAAATGAAACTGGCGTCAAATGTTGATTTTATTTGTTCATTCAGATGCCCCACATGAAACTTAATTAAGATTTAGAGAGAGAAATAAGGAAAAATTCATAACATCTGCAAGGGGGTAAATATTACTGCACAGACTATAGGTTTATTCCATGACAAATAGATCAAGCAAATGAAATATTAAGAGATGTTGCTCCCCCAATTAAATCTGGACATCACATAATATTTCCATAATTTATGCACTGGCCAGACTTTTCTGAAATATTATAATATTATAAATATTATTTCTGCAATATTGAAATGAGGTTGCTAACAAAGAAAATTAATTAGAAATTTGAATAGGAATGAACAGAAATAGAAATAGAATTCTTCATTGGCCAAGTGTGATTAATAGAATAGAATTCTTTATTGGCCAAGTGAACACACAAAGAAGTTGTCTCCGGTGTATAAGTTTTCAATCAAACAACAAAGTGATAGTTCCTAGATCACAAATCATATAATCATAGATCACTAATCATAGATCACATATCATTAATCATAACATATAAACAAGTGATAAAGAATGATACCAATAGAAGTTAGTACCGTGTTTCTCATATAATAAGGCCGGGTCTTATTTTTTTTTGAGCCCTGAAAAAATGGCTAGGCTGTCTTTTTGTGGGGTGACTTAATTCCCCCGCTTGCATCTTCGGGCGGGCAGCGATGGCTTGGATGTTGACCTCGGCGTTGGTGGGGCACTTCGTATCGGGGTCAACGCAGGCAGCACCATATCTGGGTGAACGCAGGCAGCACCATATCTGGGTGTGCAACAAAAGTACTTCCTAATGGCAAGCCCCCCCACCATTCCCCCCATTTTGCATGTTTTAATATAGGCCTTAATTTGGGGGGCGGGGCTTAATTTCATTTCATGCCTATAAAACATGCTGGGACTTCCTATTGGGGGAGGCCATATTGTTGGAGAAACAGGGTAGGAAAGAAGAGAAGATGAGAAAGAATGAGAAATGAGAATGTTAATAGCAATACAGCCTACTGTATGGGTAAATATCCTTAGGCCTGAAACAGTGCTATGGGAGTTAGGTGTTCAGCAGAGAGGTGGCATGGGGGGGGGGGGGGGACTGTCCTTGTGTCTAGTTTGGCATGCAACACAAAGCAAAAACAGAATTTTTAGAAATGTTTGTAAATTTATTAAAAAGGAAAAACTGAAATATGTTGGCATAAGTATTCAGACTCTTTGCAGCAACATGCAAAATTTAACTCTTGGTGCTTCTCATTTCTGTTGATCATTGCTGACATGTTTCTACACTTTGATTGGACACCTGTGGTAAATTAAATTGATTGGAAATGATTTGGAAAGGCACATACCTCTCTATAGAAGGCGTCACAGCTGACAATGCCATGAAGGACCTGCCTGCAGAGCTCAGAGTCAGGATTATTGCAAGGCAAAGATCTGGGGAAGGCTACAATAAAATTTCTGATGTACTGAAAGTTCCCAAGAGCATAGTGGCCTCCAATAATTCTCAAATGGAAGAAGTTTGGCACAACTAGGACTCTTCCAAGAGCTGGTCAACCAGTCAAACTGAGCAATTGGAAAGAACGGCCTTAGTAAGAGAGGTGTCCAAGGGCCCAATGGTCACTCTGACTGAGCTCAGCGATTGTGTGTGGAAATGGGACAGAGTTCCTGAAGGACAACCATCAGTGCAGCCCTCCACCGATCTGGGCTTTATGGCTAGACAAAAGCCTCTCCTCAGTGCAAAGCATATGAAAGCCTGCTTGGTGTTTGCATTATGCTGTTTTTCAGCAGCAGGGACTTGGAGACTGGTCAGGGTCGAAGAAAAGTTAAACAAAGTACAAGGATATCCTCAATGAAAACCTGCTCCACAGCACTCAGGACCTCAGACTGGGTCGAAAGTTCACTTTCCAACATGACAACGATCCTAAGTACACAGCCAAGATAGCGCAAGCTTAGGGGCAACAGTGAATGTCCTAGAGTGGCCCAGACAGACTTGAAACCTATTGAACATCATTGGAGGGACCTGAAAATGGCTGTCCAACCATGATCACCATCCAACCTGACTGAGCTTGAGAGAATTGCAAGGAAGTATGGCAGAAAATCCCCCAATCCAGGTGTGCAAAGCTTGTCGTGTCATACCCAAAAAGACTCGAGGTTGTAATTGCTGCCAAAGGTGCTTCAACAATTTATTGAGTGAAAGGTCTGAATGCTTATGCCAATATGATAGGCCAGTTTTCTTCTTTTTAATAAATTTAAAGGCATTTCTAATTTTTTTTCACTTTATCATTATGGGGTTCTGAGTGTAGATTAATGAAAAAAAAATGAATTTCAACAACTTTAGAATCAGGCTCCAGCATAACAAAATTGGCAAAAGTGAAAGGGGTCTGAATACTTTCTGAATGCACTGTAGGTCTTTAGGGATTCAAGATGTTAAGATGTAGTGCAGTACCATATTGACAGCATCATCTGCCAACCTATTTGCAGAGTAGGTAAATTGCAAGGGTTCTAGCAGTGAATCTTTGATGGCTTTCAGGTAGGCCAGCACTAACCTTTCGAAGGTTTTCATAACTATGGATGTCAGAGCAACTGGTCTGTAATCATTCAACTCCTTGATGGAAGGGTTCTTGGGCACCAGAATGATAGTAGAGTATTTGAAACAAGAAGGAACATAACACATCTCCAGTGATTTAATAAAGATGCAGGTGAAGATTGGGGCCAGTTGATCAGCACAGACTTTCAAGCAAAAGGAGTTACCCTGTGTGGGCCTGGTGCTTTTCCAGCCTGATTCTATAGTTGTCTGTGAAACAGACCTCACACATCTTTTTCTGTGATCACAAGAGGTGGTGGGCCCAGAGGGATGGAGTTGACTTGGCTGTTGTTGGTGTATCTGAGATGGAAAAGGCAACAATCATTGACCGAAGTCTCCTCTCAAATCTACAGGAGAACACATTCAGGTCACTTGCCAGTTCCAGATTGTAGGCATCTTTTAATGTAGAGTAGCATTGGTGAGTTTCTCTTGTGAGACAGTTGACATGTTGAATGTATCTTGGCAGCTCTTGCCTTAGGTTAGCTCTGTTAAAATACCATCATACCAGTGGTGGTATTCTACCGGTTTGGCCCAGTACTGGCGTACCGGTAGCGCCAAAGAGCAGCAGAGACCAAACCGGTTCTCCGAGGAGCTGTTGGAGTTGCTGTTGGGCCCACCTGCCCACCTGGGCTTCCATATTGACCTTTATTCCCTGCTTGTGAAGTGCAGCTGCTTTGAGCGGCACAGCAGATTGCCGCACATCAGCTGCTGAAGCGACAGAGTACAGGATTGCAGGAGGTGAGTTAGAAAGCCTCTGTGCCTGCACAAAGTGTGCATTTGCACACGCACAAAGCACGCCCACCAAGCCACGCCCACCAAACCGGTGGTAAAACTTTTTTGAAACGCACCACTGCATCATAATGTTAAGTAGGGAGTCTGGATATCTTTGTTCAGCACACAGGATTTGGTCAGTTAAGGTTTGCAATGCCTTGTTTATGCAAACTTGGAGTGGTATGTAGATCTCAACTAGGATGAATGAAGAAAACTCTTGGGGAGCATAATAGGGTATACAAATAATGAATAATGTCTCTAAGTCCACATCACAACATTTCTTTAATATAGTGACATTTTTATACCATCGGTTGTTAATATAAAAGCAGATACCACCTCCCTTCTTTTTACCAGATGCTTCTGCAATTCTATTTGCTCTTTGAATCTGAAATTCTGACCATTTGCAAGCAACTATCATTAATTTAATCATTTAGCCATATTTGAATGAAGAAGAGGGCTGCTGAATCGGAAAAGTCTGAGTTGTTCCTATTTAAAAGGAGTATTTCATCAGTCTTATTTTCGACTGAGCAAGGATTAGTTAAATACAGCAAGGGGGGCGAATTTCTTGCCCCATGCTTCATGAGTCTTTGTAAAATGCCTTCTTGCTTGCCCCTCCTTGTCTTGTTTCTCTTCGGCTTCTTTCTAACTGCCATGCTGAAAGAGAGAACCGTCATTCCCTCAGTCAGAATTTCCTCAGCATTGAAAAGGGACGAATAGTCCCAGAAAGCTGCATGTTATTTAAAGTCCACTGTCTGATATTCAAAATCTCATCTCTTGAGTATGAAATTCGCAGAGCCACAGAAAATAATAGAAAACATCAGAACTACTAGAGACCATTTTATGGAGGCTGCCATCAGGAGATGATAGATTAAATCTTATTAAAATAGATTAAGGAAAATAGTTATGTTCAGTTTTAAGAAGACTAGTGGTAGCTAGTGTTCAAATAACTGAAGCTGACATAAAAAAAGAGAATCTTTATCAAGCCAATGATAATAGACTAATAACAGTCATGTTTAACAGAATAATAGTCAAGCAAGAAGGTAGATGAGGGATATGAAGAAAAAAAAACCTAGCAATATTAATAATTTTAATAGTTCTCATTATCTGAAGAAATAACTTCTTCAGAAATAGGTATAATTCCATATCTTTTTAAAACTAAAGGTATATGTTTACATACATAATTGTTGTAAGTCAAGTTATTCTTGACTTTCAACGACAATTCAGCCCAAATTTTATGTTGCTAAGCAAGACAGTTATTAAGTGAGTTTTGCCCCATTTTATGACCTTTCTTGCCACAGTTGTTAAGTGAATCATTGCAGTTGTTAGTAACGGTTATTAAGGGTATCTGGCTTCCTCCTTGACTTTGCTTGTCAGAAGGTTGCAAAAAATGATTGACTCTAGGACACTGCAATTATCATAAATATGAACTAGTTGTCAAGTATCTGAATTTTGATCACGTGACTGGGGTTGCTACAACTGTCATAAGTGTGAGAAACAGTCATAATTTCCTTTTTTCATGCTTTTGTAACTTGGAACGGTAACTAAACAAATGGTTGTAAGTCGAGGAATACCTATATTTGATATAAATATAATATGATACTTTCAGACCTTTTTATAATGTAAATATACTTTGGCAATACTTGTAAAATATTACTCTACAGTATTCATTAAGTGAATGTGCATGTTCTGTTACATTGATTGCATTTCTAAAACCTAGTGTATTTAAAAATGTGAATTGTAAGATAATATTTTCTTACCTCTTTCAGTTTATTAAGAGAACATTCTATTGATGGTACTGGCTGGGCTCCCACTAGAACCTTAAAGGTGAGTTATATATAAATATTCCTTTGGTTTTACCTTGTATATTAGAAACATTTCAGAAAACAAATGCTTAAGGTACAACCAACCCATGTAATATTGATTTCAGTGGGAGTTTAAGCTCTTGTCCTCTAAAATAGATGAGACTTAATTTTTTTTATTTAGAAATTTACATGGCTGCCTGTTTTGTAAAAGATAACTTTAGGCAGTCAACAATAAATATGAAAGATTTTCAGAGTACCCAAAGAACGATGGGAAATCTGACTTCCAGTTCTACTTCAATCAGAATAGAGCTGGAAGGGATCTTGGAGATCTTCTAGTCCAACCCTCTGCTCAAGCAGGATACCCTACACCATTTCAGACAGGTGGTCATGCAGTCTTTTCTTTAAAAACCTCCAGTGATGAAGCACTTAACTGAAAGCAAGCTGTACTACTGGTTAATTGTCCTCACTTTTAGGAAATTTCTCTTTAATTCCAGATTGCTTCTCTCCTTTATTAGTTTCCGTCCATTGCTTCTTGTCTTGCCTTCTGATGCTTTGGAAAATAAACTGACCTCCCCTTCTTTGTGAAAGCCCCTCAAATACTGGAGTGTTGCTATCATGTCATCCCTAGTCCTTCTTTTCTCTAGATTGGCCTGCAACCATTCTTCATATGTTTTTGTCTCCAGACCCTTAATCATCTTAGTTGCTCTTCCTTGCACTTTTTTTTCAAAGTATCATCTTTTTTTTAATGTGGTGACCAAAACTGGATGCATATTGCAAGTGTGGTCTTACTATAGGTTTATAAAGCAGTACTAATACTTCACGTAATTTTGATTCTGTGCCTTTGTTTATACAATGGAGGATTGTATTAGCTTATTTGGCTGCTGCCATACACTATACTAGTTCGTGTTCAAATGATCGTCCACTTGGATTTCCACTCACAGTTACTGTTTTTGAGCCAGGTTTCACCTAATATCTACATGTATCTAGTTTTTCCTGCTTAGGTGTAAAACATAACTTTTCTGTACATTAAATTTCATGTTGGGTAGGGCCCATTGTTCAAGTCTGTCAACATCTTTTTGGATCCTGAGCTTGTCTTCTGGTGTGTTGGCTATTCCTGCCAGCTTAGTGTCATCTGCAAATTTGATGAGTTCTCCTTCTATTCCCTCATCTAAGTCATTTATGAAGATATTGAGGAGTACTGGGCCTAAGACGGAACCTTAAGGTATCCTGCTGCTTACTTACTTCCCCTCCGTGTAGATGTACTACTATTAAGGACTGCTTGTTGTGTACTTAGTTTGTCAGCCAGTTATAAATCCATCTGGTGGTGGTGATGCTGTTTATCCCTCATTTTTCTAGTTTACCAAGAAGTAGGCTGTGGTCTACTTTGTTGAATACTTTGCTAAAGTCTAAGTATACTATATCCACAGCATTTTGCTGGTCTGCTAACTTAGTCACTTTGTCAAAGAATGAAATAAAATTGGTTTGGCATGATCTATTTTTAAGAAACCCTTGCTGGCTAATAGTTATAACTTTATTTATTTCCACATGTTCAGAGATCTGGTTTTTTATTATCTTTTCCAGTATCTTCCCAGATATTGAAGTTTGGCTGATTGGTCTGTAGTTTCCTAGATCTGTTTTTTTTTCTCCCCTTTTGAAGATGAGAATCACATCAGCTCTTTTCCAATCCTCTAGTAGTTCCCTAGTGCTCCAGGATTTTTGAAAGGTGTGGTACAATGGTTCTGAGATAACATCTGTCAGTTCCTTCAGAACTCTGGGATGTAATCTGTCAGGTCCCAGTGATTTATATTCATCAAGATAAGACAGGTTGTGAAGGTTTCCGATCTTCGAGCCCAAGCAAATCAGAACTCTGCGACTCAGATCTTTCTCAAAGAACTTCTTGATTGGGCACATCATATTGGCATGATTAAATGTAAAACCAGCTCTGAATATTTCCTGCAGTTTCAGTATAGTTAAAATAGTAAATAATTCCCTCTCCAAATGTCACAGATCACATTGTCCAGTTAGGTTCACTGGTGGCTCCCTTGGCACTCTTCTCCGTTCTCATCAAACACGAGAAAGGGATATTGTGTCTGGCAGTTCATTCCAGCCTCCTTCTCCCCACCTCACCCCCCCATACTGTGTGGCAATTGAGAATCAACAAAATGGCTTCTGCCAGTTTCGGTTTGAAGTTGATACTCTTACCACTTTCTTGCTTATTTTAATTTTAATTTTTTATTTCTAGTCTGTCTTTTACAGTTATGTTTTTGGTAGGTTGGGCTATAGTTTCTTTTTGCATGAAGACTGATGCAAAAAATGAGTTTTAAGCAGCTCTGCTTTCTCTCTACTGCCTGTTACTTCCTTGCCATCTTCTCTCTTTAGTGGATCAACTGTTTCCTTCGCCTTTTTCTTGTTATTTATTTGTTGAAAGAAACTTCATTGAAAGTACTATGAGATACAGGAGGGGTTGGTAGGTTATCTCCTTTATTAAATATTCTGCTTGTTCATTGTATTTCTGGTGATCAGGTCCATATCTATTAACTTTAGTACCTCAGTACTTTAGTTGAATATTGTGATGGTGAACACAGAAAAGATTCAGTTCTGTTCAGGATATATATCTGATCCTTCTGTTTTTTTCTCTCTGCCCTCCCTTGTTATCTGTATTTGACATCTCTCATTCCTTAGTTTCCTCATTCTGGAGAGAATGAAGTATTTTTAGAAGATTAATTGAATCATCATAGCAACTCTTTAATATTTAAGGTGTAACTGTTAATGATATTAATGCAGATTTATTTAAATGAGTAGGAAATGCACATTACTCAGCAAATTAATACAACCTGAATCTTTAATATACTTACTTTAAAACAATGTAAAATTTCCATTTGGGTTGCGTCTGCAGATTTAGAAAATCTGTAAAAATGTATCTTTTTCTATAGGCTGTTTAATCTTTATGTTGTTAACTTTTTGTATTTTTCATTAAAAAGTGTTAGTCACAGAATGGTTAAGTCCATTAACTAGTAGATAAAGAAAGTTTGCCCAGTCTTGTTTTCAGTCTTATTTTCACCAGCCTCACAGTAGAGAACTACACTGGAAAAACAGTATGGAGCTTGAAAAACGTTTTACAGGAATTTAGACTGCCACACTTTCCAAATTCTGAGTAATTGCTGCACACCATACACGAATTGGGAGCTTACCTTGCTAGAGAACATATTTAGGGCCATAAGAATTAAAAGAGATTACCCATTAGTTAAAAAAAATCTAATTGTTCCAAAGCTGAATTTTAAGCATTCTAAGTACATAGTCCACATGAGCACTTCTCTGCCAGAGGTCTGAAAAAGATCCTAAAGTATTTTCTTTGATTTCATAACCATTTAGTTGCCACCTGTGGATTCTAAGAAGTTTAGGAAAAATGAATTTGTCTTTGCATACTTGATTTCTCATTACAGTGATTAATCGTAGCAAGTGATATTAAGGCACATTTTAATTCCCTGAAGATCTAAGCAGGATGACTACCGTGTTTCCCCGAAAATAAGACCCAACCAGAAAATAAACCCTAGCATAATTTTTCAGGATGCTCGTAGTGTAAGTGCTACCACCAAAATAAACCCCAGTTAAGATGGGTGTGGCCAGTTCAATGCTGCTCGTGTCAGGGGGCGCCTGTGGGGGGAGCGGAGGAACAAGGAAGATAGAGGAGTCCCGACTGCCTCTTGGAGACGAGGGCGCCCCACACTTCCTGTTTGCCGGGGTATCGCAGGTGCTATGGTGGGTGGGAGGCTTGTCCCACATGTGTGGGAGAGTTGGAGGACGAGGTTGGATGGCGGGGGCAAAAAATAATATAAGACCTGGTCTTACTTTTGGGAAAACATGATATATTATTGGCTTATAGAAGCAACAACCTATGAGGTAATTTGCAGGATAAGAAGTCAGGAATTGTTTTGATAGACAACCAAATAATTTATATCCAGGTAGTCCTTGACTTATAACCCTAATGGAGCTCGGAATTTCTGTTGTATGTCATGACAGTTATAAATTGAGGCACCCATGTGACTGACCTTATTTTATGATTTTTTTGCAATTGTAAAGCAAATGCCACAATTGTGAAGTGAACTGATTGTCCATAATAGGTGTTTTTTTGCCAGAAATTGGAAGTAAAAGCCCGTACAGGTAGTCCTCAACTTATGACCACAAATGAGCTCAAAATTTAGGTTTTTAAATGAGACATTTGCTTAGTGCATTTGCCTCATTTTATGACCTCTGTTACCATAGTTAAGTGTATCACAGGAGATACATTAGTAATATGGTTGTTAGGTGAATGCAACTTCCCCATTAACTTTGCTTAGAAGATCACAAAAGGTGATCCTGGGTCATCTCAACCATATATGACTCAGTTGCCAAGGGTCTGTATTTTGATCATGTGATCCTGGGGATGCTGCAACAGTTGTAAATGTGAAAAATGGTCGTAAGCAGGGGTGGTTTTCTACCGGTTCTGTCCACCTCTGTAGAACCAGTAGCTCTGAAGAGCAGCAGACATAGAACCGGTTCTGTTTCTGCTGATATTTTTACCCACCCACCCACCCGGGCTCTTACCTGATCTTTATTTCCTGATTTTTCAACTTCAGCTGCTGAACGAGGCACAGCTGCAGTTTAAAAAGCAGGAAAAGAGGGCTGTTTCAAAGGCTGCTTCTTTGCACACAGCGTGCTGATGAAGATTTACAGGCGCATGGCTCCCAGTGTGCAGGGAAGCTCGTAAATCCTGAACCGGTAGTTAACCCTGTCGTATCCCACCCCTGGTCGTAAGTCACTTTCAGTGCTGTTTAATTTTGAATGGTCACTAAACGAACTGTTGTAAGTAGAGGACTACCTGTACTGGCAAAAGAAACTTTGTAAATTGTGGTCACATGATCATGGAATGCTGCAAACAGCCATAAATCTGCAGCCCTCCTCCTTCCGGTCATTGGCACTTTGAAGCTGGGTCATAAGTATCTTTTTGGAGTCCATCATAACTTTGAATGGTGCTAAGCAACCACTCGGAAGTCAAATACTGACTCTAAATATTAAGTAATAATGACTCTGGTAACAATATTCAACTCTGTTTAATTCACGTTGTCAAAATGATTGCTTGAAATTAAATGAAGGGAGAAGAGAAGCCTGGAATATCACTGGAGGAAAAACCATTTCAAGTTTGACTGGGCATTAATAAGAGTGGCTGGTTTGAGCCTACACATTGGCAATACAAGTAGCAAAAAACTAAATATTTTGTGTTCTTATTGAATCTGCTCAGTGCTGCTTACTAGAACCTTTAAAGGTGACTTTTAGGGAACCATTCTAATTTTAGGGAATATTTCTTTTTAGGGAATAATCTCCATGAACATCTGAATAAAGAATATTTGCAGTCATTTTAAAAGCTGTCCAGAGTCACTGCAACAGGCAGTGGGCAGCATATAAATTTAAATAAATTAAGTAGGTAAAACTGCTTAAACTTGAGCAAAGCTTGTTAGTATGTGGACAGTGACAATGCAGATGACTGGAGCTAAATCTTGTGAAATAATCTGAGATCATTGTGAATCTGTGAGACTTGAGGAAGTATATGCAACAAATGTTAATGTTATTTTTCCTACTTCTCAACTGAATTTTATCTCATCATAAGGCCTCAGTAATACTATCTAATAGAAACCGAGAAACAGCCATTTTCAATCACTAGACTAGATTTTAAAATGATTTTTAAAAACTTATTTGTATGCGTTTTTTAATGTACCTACACTTAAGGGGACTGGACTAGAAGACCACCAAGGTCCCTTCCAACTCTGTTATTCTTTTATTCCTAATGGTAGGCTTTCTCTTTTTCTTTAGAAAAATTGAATCTTATTAAGTGATAATGAATTTTATTTTTTTTAATCTACAGTTTTATGTATAGAAGTGCCAGAGAATCATTATCAATCAATTTCATGGTCCTTTTTACAATCTATATTACATTTCTATTTTTAACTCTGAGACCAGGAATGTCATGTCCAAATAAATAAATAAAAAACTTAAACTTGGAATTCTGACTCCCATATATCCTGATCAATTCAGTGTCTGTTAAAGTATTTCTACAGGTATACTGTCAAGAGCAAAGAATAGTTTATTTCAGGTACCATATTATCCACTGATACTTTTTTCTTTTTCAGAGGAAGACTTACATTTAAAATGGATTTTTCTGTATAGTGATATAATTATTAAAGCAAATAAAGTCAAATAAGATTTTAAATAATGAATGATACAGTATGCTTATATTTGCTGTTTATTTCAATTGTGGAAACTTTGTGGAAACAAAACCAAGAAGCCACAAGTAGCAGAAAATAAATTACATTTTTTGGCTAATTGACACTGGGTTAAATCCAGTTAGTATAATTCCATTAACAGAATACTCTTTGATCCTTGGAAGATTTATATCAGTGGAGTAGGGTAGAAGTTGTTAGCGGTTCTCCCCTGCAGTGCTTATAAACAATACTGCACTGTTTCAAAGAGTCCCTTCAACTCACTAGAGTAAATTGAGAAATAGTAAGAAAGGGAGTAGAATTGACCAGAGGAAATTGCCAAAAATAATTTCTTTAAACCATTGTTAATCACTAAAGTGATATAATTAGTCAGGCAGCCAGCTAAGCAGCATATTTTATTTTCATAACCTGAGTATCATTTAGCTTGGAAAGTCCGAGAATATGTCAGAATGTAATAGAGCAGGCATGTCCAACCTTTTTGGGTTGCCTGCGCTACACTGATTGAAGAGGAATTGTCTTTGACTGCATATAAACTATATAATATAGTTAATATATATAGCACACAATAATGATAAACATTTATGATCAAGGGCTGTATGCACTCCGCTGGACATGCCTGCTGTATAGCTTTAAGATGAACATACCTGGTAACAGAGAGATAATAATCAGGAACTAGGGCATTTAAATTTAAATGGTTGCATAATTTCAAATATTTGCATTTGTTTTTAATAATTTGCAAATCAGGTTCTTTAAAAATTCTGAAATTCATAAGGATGTTTCAGTAGTTTCATGATCTTTCTGATTGTCTGCCTATCTATTTATTTATCTATCTATCTATCTATCTATCTATCTGTTTTTATATATAATGCATTTGAGATATTTAATTTTGGTTGAATCCTTTTTTTTCCCTTTTCAGGATGTTGTTTGGGGATTAAACTCTTTATTTACTGTAAGTAACAATCTCACTGAATGAGTGCATATTTTGATTAACCTGCTAATATAATAAACCAGCCTTAATAGAACAGATTAGTCCTCACAATTTCCACAACCTGTATTAGTTTATTGATCCAAAATCTACACGCTTCTTGTAACTTTCAAAAACTAACACATTTATTATGGTGTAAATATCTTTGGACTGGAGTCTCCTTTATTAGATATATCTGATACAGTGGGCTCTAGTAAAAAAAACAAAACTTGACGTTTCATTAGCCCCATTGTTTCCTCTTCTTGAGTTACAGTGATGAAAATTGATAAACTAACAAAAATGAAGGCATGATTTACCCTGTTTTCAAACCCACCCACCCCCCAAGGTAAATGTAGACCTATATATTGGCACAAATACAAAGCAAAACATATCCCCCATATCTAATTGAAACCTAAGCTCTGGCCAGTTATGCAACATGCAGCAATAGCAACAAGAGCCTTGGAGCTTGATCAGAAGAGATTGACTTTGGCTTTCCTCCCCGGTAGCTTACTCTCCACCATAGACTCATGATGATGGTTCTACCCCAAGTTGCATCCTTCATGGAGCATTCCAAACCTTTGGCTTTGGCAAGAGCTCTGCCTGACCTTTTCTTATAGCACACCATCTAAATTCTACATGTCTCCCAGATTGTTTTTTTAATCACGTTGTTGTGTAATTTCAATAATCCTAAAATTTCCTTTAAATTTTATTTTACATTGTTTGTTTTATTTCCAGTCTTTCAGTTGGTGTTTTGAATTCACTTAGGTTTATTTGACTGCTCCGCTTCTTTGCTGTTAAGCACTTCGATTTAGTTACCTGTAAGGGTCCCTTCTGCAAGTATGCTCAGTAAATCACATACTAGGTAAACTGATCACCCCTCACACTTACTCTAGGAATTAGCCCAAGAATTTCAGAAGCCAATTTTTGCTTCATATTGCTAAAAAGGCATAAACGTGGTCTACAGGTCACTTTGAGCAGAAGGCAGTTCATAGCCATGCAAACAGGTCTATTTCTTACTGTTACTGCTGGCTAGGAGAATATAAAAATATTTTGCCCCTTATCGATCATCTTTTTATGCTTGTACGTGCAGGAGTGATTGTGGTTCCAGTACAGTATGTACTTTTGGATATTGATTTCCAGATTGGATTGAATAATCCTTCATTGGTGATATTATGGAGATTGATCTTTGTGACCTTGATCTTACCCACCTAACATAGTTTTTTAAAAAGACTTCTGAGTTAAATTATCTGTTATGCCATTTCTAAGCATATTGAAAATACCGAGTTAACGAAAGGCACCTTGTAGGTAATCCTCAATTTATGACCACAATAGAGTCAAAAATATCTGTTGCTAAGTGAGACAATTGTTAAGTGAGTTTTGCCAATCAGTTGCCAAGCATCTGAATTTTGATCACACGACCACGGGGATGCTACAAAGGTGGTAAGTGTGAAAAATGTGAAAAACAGTCATAGGTCACTTTTTTGGGTGCCGTTGTAACTTTAAATGGTCATTAAATGAATGGTTATAAGCCAAGGGCCTTGACATCTTTCTTTAAACACTCCCTCCCTAAATCTACCATTATAGTAGCCTTGTAATCACAAGACTATTTGAAGCAACAATATGAGGAAAGAAAGGAGGCTGAATGGAACATGAAAATGTAAAGATTCATCTCGCAGGGCATCTTCTCCTTTTCTCCAATCTGTTGGGATGACAGGAGGCAAATTGTTGCTGTTCTGAGATGACAAAGCAACAAATTAGTAAAGGTTATCATGCAGATGGATGGCAGAATGAAAGCAATAGTGAATTTTGTAGTATTTCATTGCTATTCAAGAGCAGGCAGAATGAACACAAAACACATGCAACAGACCTCAATAAATAAATAAAAAACTCTATAAGAACTTCACATTTCAAAATCTGTTCTGAAGCTTTAAACATGTATTGTGCATACAGTGCACACACTATACACACAAACACATACCAAAATTCAACAAACAAAACAAACAGGATAGTACAGGTAATCCTGGACCATTCATTTAGTGACCATTCAAAATTACAATGGCACTGAAAAAAGTGATTTATGACCATTTTTCACACTTCCAACTGTTGTAGCATCCTTGTGGTTGATCAAAATTTGTACACCTGGCAACTGCCATGTATTTATGACAGTTGCAGTGTCCTGGATCATGTGATCACCTTTTGCGACCTTCTGACAAGTAAAGTCAACGGGAAACCAGCTTCACTTAGCAACCATGATACAAACTTAACAACTGCAGTGATTTAACAATTGTGGCAAGAAAGATTGTAAACTGGGGCAAAACTTCCTTAACAACTGTTTTGCTTATCAATGGGAATTTTGGGCTCAATTGTGGTCGTAAGTCAAGGATTCCCTGCAGTCTTTGTATTTACAACATATAGTCTGAACACACGTGCCATTGCATTTACATATGGCTGCAAGAAAACCCACAAACCTAAAATACAATATATAACCCGCATAAAAGCCACAATCCATTAAATCTAATACAGGTAGTCCTTGACTAACAACCAGTCAAAGTTATGACAGACCCAAAAAGTGGTCATGGATTTGAAGATCAAATGGCTGGGCCCCTTTCATGGTCTCATGACTGAACTTCAGATACTCAGCAGCTATGGTGCCATTTATAGCATTCCACAGTCATGTTTTCAGCAAAATTATGCCCATAGTGAACCATTGTTTCACTTAATGACCCTGGATTTGCTTAATGATGGTGTATTTGTTTAATGACTATACATTGTATCTCACAAATTTGGAGCGGAAAAAGCTGCACAAAACATTTTTCCACCCGTGGCAGAAAGGGGAAAATTAGAAATAAGAAAACATTATCCAGGAGAAGCAGAAAGTGAATTTTAACCGGGTCCCATGGATGCTTTGCTATTCCTCACTTTCAGCTTTATGATTACTTTTGCTTCTGTGTTTGTTTTGAATTACTCCTGTGTTACATCCAAACTTAACTTAGCTATAGATAGAATTCCCTATCTTAGTACCCTTTTTAAACTTCCCAACCATGCAACATTTGTTATTATTAGACAAATATTATTTGACTCACCAGCTTTAATCCTTTCTTTTCCATATACTGTATACTGGTGAAATTATTGTCCATGGACTGTATAGGTAAACTAATGACATGCATAGAATTTGTTTCTACTGATGTTGCTTATTGAAACTCAACTAAATCCTTGTAGAAGTATTTTTAGGGCTCTGAAAGTCCATACCAAACAACAATTAGACTGCAAACTTAATCAGTGAGAAATCAAGCTTTAACAGATTAACAGAGTTGGAAGGGACCTTGTAGGTCATCTGGTCCAAACCCCCCCAAGCAGGAGACCCTACACCATTTCTGACAAATGGCAGTCCAATCTCTTCTTGAAAGCTCCCACAACTTCGGAAGGCAAGCTGTTCCATTGGTTGATTGTTCTCTAATTGATATTTTCATAATAGCCAAATGGAGATTGTTATTATCTGAAAGAAACCTGTGCGTACATGTTTTGGATGCTTTAGAATATAAGTACTTTGTTTTGGTTAGTAGAAATGCTGGATCTATATGTATTATACATATTACACATATATTTCAAGCATTGAGCCATTTGGCTTTAAAAGATTCCTTTCTTTCCTCAGTTTGCATTCTTACTCATTGCATCCAAAGTTTGTTTCTTTGCTTTTTGATCCCTGATTTTTTTGCAAGGATAAGCTATAGACGTTTATTCCTTCTATAGGCAAGTTCTCAGCCACTTGTTTAACAATCATTCAAACTTAAAGTGGTTCTGAACAAATAGCAGTTATGACTGGTCCTTGGAGTTATGGACATCAGTGTCCCTGTGGTCACATGATTGCAGTGAGCCACAGTCAAATTACTTTCTGACATTCCCTGCTGGCTTCTCACAGTGAAGTCAATGGGGAAGGCGTAAGTCACAATCACACCAAATCCTCAATAAATGATCTATGTGATCCCTAACTGTGACTTCAGTTAGCGACAGCAATTCCAGTCCCAATTTCTGTCACAAACCGATATGACAACTGGAGCCTACAGGGACCCAATCTCTCACACCTGCAGGCTTCAGCAAGGAACAGCAAACAGAGGGAAGGCCTGAAGCACCAAAGCCTTCCCTCTGTTTCCAAAGCCTTTTGCCGCAGATCTTGTCCAGGCCTCAATTAGTAGAGAATAGAGGCCTAAAGTGTGGGATCTCGCACTACTGATCTCGTGGTACTTTAGACCTGTGTTCTCTGTGAATGCACCGAAGGCCTGAAGTAACGAAGCAGGCAAAGAAACTGCGGCAGAGAGGAGACAGTTTGCTAGATCTTTGCAAGGTAAGTGAGTCTCTACAGGCCCAGTGCCTGTGGACACCCATATTGGGGTGGGGGTGGGGGGAATAGGCAGCGTGAATGTTGCAGTGCTTCTGTGATCATAAGGGTGAACGACCGTTGTGATGATGCAACATTCATAACCTCAGGACTGTGTCGTAAGTACCTGGGGGGGTATGTCGCTAAATGAACTGTTGTAACTCAAGGATTAACTGTACTTCCATTATTGGAAGGGATAGAATAGCCATGAGATTCCCTGTGATGGGAAAGTCAGGGCCTGCCAGGTTACAAGGGAAGATATGTCAGGAGATTAGCAAGCATATTATATTCCACAGGTACCACATTGCAAACTCCCAAACTAAAATCTCTTTTAGATCTCAGTCATTTGAATTGTATTTGTCAAATTTTTCCATTATTTTTCTGCTTATCCACTTACTGTAGAGCTTGTGAGAGTGAAATTGATTCAGTTGCCCTGCTTCCATTCACTCAGCTTTATTAGCTAACAAAGAACTCTAGAGGTACATATTTTGTCCTTTTTCTTTATACTAACATCTTACTAGGCAAATGAAGGTGAATAATTATTGCAGTTTGTCCTTGACTTAGTAGCCATTCATTTAATCTCCATTTATATTTACAATGGCCCTGAAAAAGTTACTCAGAACCAGTTGTCACATTTATAACCATTGCAGCATCCCTACAGTCATGTAATCAAACTTCTGATGCTCAGCAACTGGTAAATAACAATGGTTGAAGGATCCCAGAGTTCTGGGATTATCATTTGCAACTTTCCTAAAGAGCTTCTGACAAACAAAGTCAATGGGAGAAGCCAGGATCCCTTAATGACCTCATGATTCACTTAACAACTGTGGCAAAAAGGTTGCAAAATGGGACATGACTCACATAATAACTGTCTTGTTTAGCAATGGAAAAGTTGGGGTCGATTGTGAGGTAAGGACTACCTATATTCAGCTCAAATAGCACACTAGGAGTCATGGAGAAATAAAAACTATGGTCTGATAACTTGATTGTAGAATGTGGTACTGTTAAACCAAGCCTTTATGCCATCTTTCCCCCAGGAGCTGAAAGCATACATTGCACTCCATCTTCCCATTTTTCCACACTGGCAATTTATGAAGCAGCCCCAAATTACTATGTGACCTTCTATAGCCCTTAAATATATTTAGGGATTAAATATGTATTTAGTGTCATTCAGTATATTTTATTCATACATAGAACATTTAAACTCATCAATGAGCTAATTTTGACAACCCAACAAAATGTATTTTCCAAGGATATTTGATACCATGACAGTTTGAAATTGGGCTTGTTCAAAGCTGCTATTCAAGAAATAGAGACCCAAACAATCATAATTTATAACAAGCCTTTTTAAAAAAAATCACTTATTTTGTGTTTTTTAGGATCTCTTGAATTTTGATGATCCTTTAAATATTGAAGCTGCAGAACATCATTTACGTGACAAGGTGAGTAGCAGTATATTGAAAATTACAATTCTACTGCTCATTTCTTAAATATTAATTTGGTAGTTTTCAAAAGGAAAATATGTAAATTAATATTTTCAAGGTATCACTGGATCGAAAATGGATTTAAGATTAGATATAAAGGAGATACAGCAGTCTGACAGATTATTGTATACCAAGAATATCAAGCCAACAGACAGCCATGATATTACACGCTTATGTTTATGAAGAAAATTATTGCTTAAAGGAATTTTAAAAATTGCCCATATATTATATTCTAAAGCATCCAAGCTAAAGTTTACAAAAAGAACGCTTACATACAGTGCATTCAGAAAGTTTTCGGACCCCCTTTACTTTTGTCAATTTTGTTATGCTGCAGCTGTCAACGTTCCAAGTAATGCACCCATAGAAAGCAGAACTCTGAGGCAGGCAAATTCCCCAAAGAACAATGTATTGGATACATCATATGGACACATCGTATTGGCTCCTTGGAGGCCAAATGGCATTGCTTTAAATTGGAAGCTCCCTAGGGGACAATTGAATGCCATTTCCCATTCATCTCATTCCCTAATCTTCACTTGGTAGTATGCCTCTCATAGGTGTAACTTAATGAACACCTTTCCTTTTGCAAGGTGGGCTAGCAGGACCTTCATTAGGGGGAGTGGATACATGTTTTCCATGCAGACGGCATTAATTCCCCTAAAATCTACTCATAGCCTCATTGACACAACCTTTTTCTCTTTGAATAGAACCAGGGTGGTGACCCTTGATTTTGCTGGTTGTATGAACCCCCTAGCTAGGTTCATGTCGATGTACTCCCTTAGCTCTCATTTCTTTTGGGGTCATGGAATATATTTTTGCCTTTGGTAGTTTCGCCCCAGGGACAAATTTGATGATACAGGCAGTGAGAGTGGGGGTTAGAGTGTTGCATTCTTCTTCACTGAAGATGCCTGCTAGGTCCCAGTACTCTTTGGGAATTTGGGGCATCCCTGGGGGCTGCTCAGATGTGGTCTTTGTTTTGTCATTTCGCTTACTGACATTTAGCTGTTGGGCAGTTTCTTCCATAGCGGTGCCAGGAAGAGGGAGGGGGCCTACTTCCAGTCTTAGTTTTCAGTCGCCCCCTTCCCATCAGGTGGTGAGGCCCCATTTGCCTAGCCATGCCAGTCTTAGAATCACTGCTTCCACCATTTTTTGTGCCACTATGAAGCAGATGAGTTCTCAGTGCCAGCCCATCTCTAGTCTGACGGGTTTGGTAAGGAATGTGGCAGGGGCTCCCCCTATCAGTGATCCATCCACTTGCTCGAATTGTATGAGTCGAGTCATCATTTTCATCATGATCTGTAGCTTTAGGACCATGGGCAGGCTGATCAAGCAGTGGGTGCAGCCCGTGTCTACGATGGCTTCCATTTCCCATTTTGCCTCTGTCTTGGACACTATCAGTTTTGATGGGATGGTGAAGGGCTGGATGGCTTCACTTACCATTGGGTCATCTTTGCCCTCATTGTTGCTGTCGTAGGCCATGGGCACTCGGGGTCCCTTTTAGACCCTGTGCAACAACACAATGCATACTGTAGGAGAGCAAATGCCACGATGTTGAAGGACCTGCCTGTAGAGCCCAGAGACAGGATTATTGCAAGGCACAGAACTGTGGAAGGCTACAATAAAATTTGTACTGAAGGTTCCCAAGAGCATAGTGGCCTCTAATAATTCTCAAATGGAAGAAGTTTGGCACAACTAGGACTCTTCCAAGAGCTGGTCGCCCAGTCAAACTGACCAATTGGAGAAAAGGGCCTTAGTAAGAGAGGTGTCCAAAGGCCCAATGGTCACTCTGACTGAGCTCCAGAGATTGTGTGTGGAAACGGGACAGAGTTCCAGAAGGACAACCATCAGTGCAGCCCTCCACCGATCTGGGCTTTATGGCAGAGTGGCTAGACAAAAGCCTCTCCTCAGTGCAAAGCATATGAAAGCCTGCTTGGTGTTTGCATTATGCTGTGGGTGTGTTTTTCAGCAGCAGGGACTTGGAGACTGGTCAGGGTTGAAGAAAAGGTAAAGTACAAGGATATCCTCAATGAAAACCTGCTCCACAGCACTCAGGACCTCAGACTGGGCCGAAAGTTCACTTTCCAACATGACAACGATCCTAAGTACACAACCAAGATAACGCAGGCTTAGGTACAACTGTGAATGTCCTAGAGTGGCCCAGACAGACTTGAGACCTATTGAACATCATTGGAGGGACTTGAAAATGGCTGTCCAACCACGATCGCCATCCAACCTGACTGAGCTTGAGAGGATTTGCAAGGAAGAGTGGCAGAAAATCCCCCAATCCAGGTGTGCAAAGCTTGTCACATCATACCCAAAAAGACTCGAGGCTGTAATTGCTGCCAAAGGTGCTTCAACAAATTACTGAATAAAAGGTCTGAATACTTATGCCAATATATGTCAGGTTTTTTTTTTCTTTTTAATAAATTTAAAGACATTTCTAAAATTCTGTTTATTGTTATGTGGTACTGAGTGTAAATTAATTGGGGAGGGGGAGAAAAATCAAGCTGCAGCATAACAAAATTGACAAAATTGAAGAGGATCTGAATACTTTCTGAATGCATTGTATGTACTCCATTTTCACATCCTCCAGACATTACCTTACCAAGTTATTTATCAGCACCTCACCAAATATTTATTGAATTTGCTGAAGTGCAAATTAGCCGCTATGCCCTTTCCACAAACTGTTAAGGAAGCTATCCAAGCAAAAATGAGGTAATGTTAGTCTGAAAAGATTTCCACATAATCAATTCACGATAAATTCTATTTTATTATTTTACAGTTTTCAATGTTTTAACTAAATGATCTCTTTACCAATCCCTCTAGTGTCAGAATCAGACTGACTGGTTTCTGGTTTGCACATTTCACAAAGAGATTGGTCTAGAGATGGAAACTTTTGTTTAGATTTTGTTATATTAATGAGTTACAGCTATCTTGGCTATCTTTTTGCATCTCCTCTCTTCCTTTGAATGCACATTCCAAGCTCAAGAGCATGAAAACTGTTTCTGAGTTAACTGTTCCTAGGTTTCAGCAATACAAAAAGGTGCTCACCTTGAGAAGAGGGAGCGTTAGGCCTTTTTCGCTTCCTTGAGTTATTCATAAAAGCAGGTTATCTGTGGGACCATTTCTCCCAAAGTACATCTACTCTTCCTGCCAGATGAGATAGGGTGGGTGTGCTCCTACTGCTTTTTTTAAACAATTCCACCCTAGGAGAACTAGGAAGTGTGCCTTTCCTATAGCATGTTTAGTCCTTTTGATATGGGGAATGTTCAAAAGCAGATTCAAGCAGTCTGTATTAACTGGGTAGATTCTTCTCCAGCATCATCACTGAGACCTCATAAGCTCCTTGTGTAAGGAGAAGAGAGAAAGGATCAATTTAATAGCAAAAAAAACTTCCAACTGTCTCCATAGAGGCTGAGGTAGAGACAGAGGTGCCATCATTAAACCATTAAGATACCTTCCTGTGATGGTAAGTAGAATGTGAAGATGGATCTTAGCCCAGGAGAAAAAAAGGTTATGTTCTATTGGCAAACATCTAGTACAAGTAGCAGCTAATTTCAGAGACACTCCTTTTTGTGGTAAGCAAGATCCATAGCTGTCAAACTGAGAGCTGGATATGGCCCGGGCAGGCCATGCCCAGCCCAGCTCCGCAAAGGCAAAAAACATCCAGATGTCACGATGCAGCCCATGATGCGATTGGGTTTGACACCCCTGCCCTACAGATTCCTTTTCTTTCAACAGCTTTTCTCCTCAGGAAAAATAAGGTCTCTCTCGAGATTCAGGGAAAAAATCGTCATGCAGTAAGACTTACTCTGTCTGGAATGAAAACTGTGTACTGGAATTTTAATGGAGACACATAAGTATAGGGCTATTATTGTTTCTATAAACATATTTATTTTTCAACTGCATACAGGAGGACTTCCGAACTAAAGTTGAAGATTACATTAAGCGCTATGCAAGATGATGATGGGAGATGGGTAGCAAGGCCATGAACCGCACCTTGATGTTTTCCTAAAACCACCACCACCAAAAAAGAGGGTTTTTTGTCTTGTGTTCATGTTATTTTGATAAAGAAAACAATCCTCTTTGTTAAATGAAAAGATTGTCCATACAGCAAGAAAATGATCTATGTTGGCTACAAAAAATTGTTTAATTTTCAACAGTCTCCTTTTGAAATTGTACCATATATTCAGAAGCGAGATCTTGATAGTAAAGAGAAAGCCCTGTTAAGATCATTTATTCATTTCAAATTTTTCTTAATAGCTAGTACGGAATATTTAAGTATGGCAATAAATAAATGTGGGCCAAAATTGAAATAACATGTCATGCATTATATTGAGTGCATATGTTAGCTCTGCCTACTGTTGCTGTTAAATTTGAAATTGCTGATACTGGTTCATTTTTTATCTACTGTGTTAAATTTGCATTTACTGTGCAAAGCACTTATTGAAACCAAGGCTGAGTCTGAACACATATAAATACAGTGTATTTCTTTTGAAAAATAACTATTTAACATGCAAATGTAATGAAAGGTATAATACTTTTAAAATACCTTTAGTTTCTGGTGTGGAGAATTGATAGTTCAGATTATTATAAAACAACGTAATTTTAATTTTCTGGTATCAAAGCTTTAGTAAAAAGCTAATCCTTGAGATCAAATTAATGCTGACTGTAACTTAATTGCAACACTGTAAGAAGTCAAATTTTTCAGGATAAACATGGCATAAAAAACTTTGAATATAACCTCCGGTAGCTCTATCTCATGTAAAGTATGTATGAATTGCAAAACCATTTGGGTTGAGTATATACTGTGCGGGTATATTTAAAAGCAGATGCTACATTCAATATGTACTTCATATTTTATCTTAACTCTTTTTTGACACAATGGTCATTCAAAACAGTGAGAATCATCTCCCTCAAATAATTTAAAATTAAATTATTGCCAAAGTAGACACAAATAAATGTTTGTTTAGTTTCATACACATTGTGTGCATAATATTTCTGCCTCAACTTTTTTCATATAGTAGAAGAATCTTATTAGGTCCTTCTGTAATTTCCCAAACCTTCAATTTAATGGTGTCATTGGGAGAAAGGTGTGTATAAAAGCAGGACGTCTGCTGATTCTGAATAGAATTTTACCTATGCATATTTTATGCATTTTTTTTAAAAAAATGTAAAATTGGAATGAGATTTTATGCATGTTTGGAATGGTGAATGGGATTTTATGCATGTCCAGATTTTAATCATTGCATCTGAAATCTGAAAGTGTATTAAATCAAATGTTTACTATATCATACTTCTTTAAACTTTTGATAATCAATTTATTATAATTACGCATCAGTAAATATTATCAATCTTGAATGAAGGAGAATATACATGTCCAGGATAATGTTGTAGGATCCAGTCCGAGTCGGTCACTGGGACCAGAGGTTTTGTCTTCTGAGTTTTTGGACTTGTGCTGGAGCCCATCTTCAGGGAACTTCTTCTAACAGAGTGTGTGATGTTCTGTGTATGGTATTTATACGGTGCCTGTTGTATGTGGCTTTTAGATGTTGATTGGGGTGTGTTGATGGCTGGCTATCAACCATCAAGCCAGCCATCAACGCACTCCAATCAACATCTAAAAAGCCACATGCAACAGGCACCATATAAATATCACATACACAACACACATTCTGCTAAAGAGAAGTTCCCTGATAATGGGCACCAACATGAGTCCGAAAACTCAGAGGACAAAACCTCTGGTCCCAATGACTGACCTAGATTGGATCTATCATCGGTGTAATGATATTCAAAACAAGTCACTGCGAGGTTCAGTTGGAATGAGAATTAATTAAATACATGGATTAAATGTTCATTGCAATTAATGGTTCTTAGAAAATGCTTAATTTGTTCAAATAGAAGTTTCAAAATAAAAAGTATTTCTTTGAAATTTGAGTTACTCAGAGGTTCTGAGAAAATTATCTCTTGTCTGTCTTTGGGAAATTGTTTACAAAAGTTCTGAGACAATAATATAGTGGGCAGATAGAGCTTGTTTCTAGTAGGACAGTTTTCACAAAAATATTGTTTGCATTTTGAAGAAATATAACCAAAGTTACAAAATGAGTATTGTAAGTTGACACACAATTAAAATTAAACACAGTTTTTCTCCATGAACAATGCAAAATTCTTAATACACATAGCCATATTTTCATTTTCCAAAAAATTATCGAGCAATAAACTGCTGTATAGAAAACTGTGTATAGAGAGAATAGCTGGATAATGACAGGATACAGAAAACAATTGGGATAGCTAACACAAAAGAGAATTAGGAGCCATTGTTTTATGCCCACAATACTAAAGGTAGTAGAGATCCTTGGGAGATTGGAACACCTGGGAGATGTTGGTTTCATGCAACATATGCATGAAGCTGGGAGGATTGACTGGAGCACAGTTGGCCTTTGGGAAACTGGTGGCCAATGCAGCTCAGAGAAACTGTTGGACATTGAAAGTTATTAAAAGGGCACTTCCAATTGACTCAAAGTTCTCTGAAAGAATTATTTGGATTGTGGTTCTGTGTCAACTCTGAAGTGAACCTGGCTGAAGCATCTTGCGTTACCACGAAGCCTGAGAAAGGGAAGGGAGGGGGGAAGTAGGTAGCCCAGTCAGCAGTAAAAAGAAAGTTTTCCTGTGGGAACCAAGGACATTGTAACAGGTGGCTGGTGAAGGAGAACAAGCTGCCAGGACACAGGCGACACCTAGGAGGGGGGTAATTTTACTCTTTTAATTAGGTGAAAACCACGGGAGCCTTTAGAGTTGGTTTTCACTGGCTGTGCCGATATGACGTCTCCAATAAACATGTTCTTTGAGGAATCTACCTGCCTCAGAGTTATGCTTTTCTATTTTTTCAAATTTTTTGTTTTATTTATATACTCAATTTCAATTAAACTGTGTGCTGTCTGGGTGCAATTATTTTTAGGAAATCATAATCAAAATGTTTTTAATAATCATCACATTGATGCTAATTCAATAATAATATTTTACTTATCTACTTCAACAAATCTCCTTTATAACGTTAATCAGTTTTGTATCCCCATGTTTCTAACTTCTGTTTTTATTATCAAACCATTGGTAAAATAAGTCCCATGTCAAGAACTATTAAGTTCCTTCCTTTTCCTTAGTTGTAAGCGTTAATCTATACATTTCTGCACATTCTAATATTTTTTTAATTACACACTCATCTGTCGGGATCTCTTCACTTTTCCATTGTTGTGCAAATACAATTCTGGCTGCAGTTAGTACATGTAAAATCAAATATATATTCCCTTTATCATATTTTTCCAGTAGGATGCCCAACAAAAATATTCCTGGTTTCAAATCAATATGTTGCTTTATCATTTTTTCCAACCTAGTATGTATTTCTGTCCAATTTTTTTTGCCTTTGGGCATGTCCACCACATATGATAATACAAACCAAGTGTCTGGTTACACTTTCAACGTTTAGTGGACATGTCTTTAAACATCTTTGCCAATCTTGTTGGTGAAAAATGCCATCTATAAAATATTTTGTACAAGTTTTCTTTATATGCAGTTGACATAGTTTAACATTCCTATCCCACAATTTCTGCCATTTATCCAGTTCTGTTGTATATCCAAAGTTTTAAGCCCAAATTATCATTGTCTCCTTTACTTGCTCACTTTCCAATTTGATGCTTAATAAATAGCTATGTATTTTCTTTATTAATTTTTCATCCATCCCAATTAATATCTGGTCTAATTCTGTTACTTCTTTATTAAAACCATACATTTTAACATCTTTCTCATATTGAGATTGTATCTGCACTTGCGGCCACTGTGCTATATCCATCCCTTGACTACTCTCTTCTTGCTTAGTTTTTAATTTCCCCTTTTCATTCAAAATATCTTTATATCTTTCCCCCCCCCCCCCCCAAATTGATAATATTAGGATGTATCAGTGCTTCCATTGTGGAAAGCCAGACTGATATTTTCAAATAGTGTTGTTCTTTAATTTTTACCCATACTGATAGTAGTGCATTTCTAATATGTCTTTGAACATAGTTATGTATCTTATTTTTCCCATGCTGTAAAAAAGCAAGCCAAACTTATTGAAGATCATGTCCCTCTAAGGTTAATAGTTCTTTTATGCCTCAAATTAATCAATTCTTTCACCCATGTAAGCCTGATAATACAATTCCCAATCTGGCAACCCAAAGCCCCCTCTTTTTTTGGAATCTTGCAACATTTTCAGGCTTATTCTTGCTTTTTCTTCCTAGCCAAATATATCTTAGTATTATTTTGTTTAGTTCTTCAAAATATTTTCTCATTTTTATTGGAATTGTTTGAAATAAGTATAATAGTCTTAGCAAAATATTCATTTTTATAGTAGCTATTCTTCCTGTCAACAAAAATTGCAAGTTTTCCATTTCTCCAAATCTGATTTGATTTGATGCATCAGCTCAGTATAATTGTCCTCTTTAATCATTGCACATTTTGCTGTTAGTTGTATCCCTATGTACTTTATTTTCTTGACTATCTGTATGTCAGTTCTTTTCATTAGCTCTCTTTTCTGTGTATCTGTAAGATTTTTAACTAGTATTTTAGTCTTTTTGTTTATTTTCAGTCCTGCAACTTCACCATATTATTCTATTTTTTTAATTACCTTAGGTCCAGTTTCTTGTGGATCTTCTAAGATAAAAACCAAATTGTCTGTGAACGCCTGTAACTTGTATTTCTCTCTCTTTTTTCGTAACTTTTATTTCTTTGACCTGTCTAATATTTCTAGGTAGCACTTCCAAAGTCAGTATAAATAGTAAAGGGGATAATGGACATCCTTGTGCCTTTTTTATATTAAAAATCTCTGTCATGTCCCCATTTACCTTAGCTGTTTGTTTATGATAAATTGCCTTAATCATATTAATAAATCTCTCCCCCAAATCCATGAATTTCAATTGTAATAACATAAATTGCCAATTGATGTTATCAAATGCTTTCTGTGCATCAAAAAATGTCCAGTTCATATTTGAGCCAATTCCAAGGTGCAAAGATGTGAGAACTTTAGGCTGAAAAGGTGGATAACAGGTAGTTCCCAGGTACCATGAGCTCGCTCCTCCAGTGGTGAGACAAAACAGATGGCCCAAGATTCTTTCCCTCCTCCCAATATCCCAAAGGTACATCAAAGCTGAGAAAAGGAACAAAGAAAAACCCCATGCAAACGTAACACAAATCCTCCCCACTCCCACCAGAATGGCAAAGTCCCAATAGAGATCTATAGGACCTGACATGCTGCCCCCCTAAGAAAAGGAGACATCCACCTGGAGACAAAATACAGTGGAAGACAACAATAAGAACAATTAGTTTTGTTAAAGTAGAGTTGGTGGAAGCGCTTGATTCATCTAGGGCAGGGCTGTCAAACTGGCCCATGGGCCAGATGCATCACATGCTGGCCACATCACACCCAGGTTAGTGAAGGAAAAATTCCAGATAATCATGTGACATCACTGTGACATGAGTTTGACACTCCTGATCTAGGAGCTGTAATGTGTTTTTTGTGAACCCACTCGTTTTGTGATGTGGGGAGGCCTTTCCAGGCCACTAAATACCAGGCAGACCCATGGTGTCATCTTGAATCAAGGTTCTGTTTAATCTCAAAGTTTTGCCTTCTACCATAATGGGCTGTAGTAAGGGGGTGTGTGGGTTGTAAGACCAAGGTCACTTCGAGTTTTAATAGGCTGAAATGGAAGATTAGGTGCACTTGCTGCAATGACTTGGGTAATTGAAGCTCCACTGTGACCAGGTTAATAATGCAGGCGATGGGGAATGGTTCTATGAATTTTGGTCCAAGTTTTTTAGATAGTTGCAAGGATTGTAAGAACCAAGTGGAAAGGTAGACTCAACCCCCAACTTCAAATTGTTTAGGCTCCACTCTCTTTTTGTCTGCCTGAGCCTTGTAGGCTGCTTTTGCAAACTATGGGCCAGATATGTCTTTAGCTGATTGATCAATTCCTTTAGGGAGGGGATTGTTGGTTCTGTAGTGGGTAGTTCAGATATCGAGTTAAATTCTTGGCCCATGGCTACTTGGAATGGGGTAAAACCCATGCTGGTGTGCACTGAATTGTATGCTGCCTCCTCAAATGCCAACAGGTTGGTCCATTCATCCTGTTGG